ATTAAATTAAAAAAAAAAAAAAATTTATCAAAATGTTGTGATTCCGAATCTCGGGCATTAGAATATAAAAATACTTTTTAAAAACATCAAAAATCGATAACATCAATCGAATCAATATAAAAGCGAGCTAATATATCGATCTAAATCGGTATTTATTCGTCATTCCAAATCTCGGCCAATCACAATATCTGACAAACATGTTAAAATTGTTTTTCTTAAATGAAAAAAAAAAATCGTTTTTAATTCATACGAATAAAAGCATGTCTGTATTTAAGTATTTATTTTGTTGGATTAGTTTATTTTTGTTTAGTTTAGTATCTTATAGTTTATATACATTTTAGTATTATTATATTGCTGTTTATTATTTTTATTTGTTGTGCATAGTATGAATGAGCTAGTCTTTATCACTATTATTATTGTCTTTGAACGTGACAGATTGTAATATATCTCAATAAAGAAATTTCCTAAAAAAAAAAATTCATACGAACTAAGTACTAAGTACCGCATGTTGTCGAAATATCAATATTTCCCTTCCGATATTCGATATTTTACCATCGGTAGTATCTACTTCTATATTATATAATCTCAATATTGTCCTTCTATATTTTATATTTTAATCTGAAAATAAAAACGGAAACTACCGTTTTCGCAAAATGATAGGAATTATATGTGAATCTGATATTATGTAATCATATGTGAAAAAATATAGTCATCTTGCCTTTTTCATATAGTATGCAGTGCGCAGTAGAGGGAAATATTTCGATAATATCGACTATCTATGACAATCCCTACCTTAAGGATTGAGTAGTGGAAGTGAGTTAGTTAAATAATAAGTTGAATAGCGCAATTGAGGCCCTCTCCTTCAGTAAACTTAATTTTCCCAATTTTTTTGTTAGTTGAACCTTCTCAAACTAAGACCACAAATTGTAATAGAAATCTAATTAGGATGTAAATAAATTAGCGTTTCGTTTAATACAATCTATGGGTGAACGGAAGGTATAAATTGATAGAATGGAAATTTCTGGGGAAAGAAACCGTTTATGACGAAGATGGGCAGGAAGTAGAAAATTAATTCAACTAAGGAGGGTAGAAGGATTGATATTTCCATTAATTAATTCATCAATAAAATTTATAATAAAACTTTTACAAGGTAATCAAATTATCAATAAAACAAAACAAAAATCATCGGAATCGAACCAGTATAAGCGATGATACAGCTTATTCTATTTTTTACACATGTTTTAACTTAATACTTTCCTACCTAAACTAGGTAAGGGAAGTATTGCAATCGTTCATTTTGGACAAGTATTAACGAAGTTACAATTTCCAATGTAAGATTAAGCGTTCATATCCTGGTGTCAGAAAGGGGTGAATGAGAGAAAAAATATGACAGTGAAAGTAAGAAAATCTGTTGCCCGCATCACACATGCTTCACTATTTCCTCTACTTTTAACAGCAATTATTGTTTGACAATACTAAGCTATGGCAAAAAGTTTTTGATCAGCAATATTAGGGAGTATTGAAATTTTTACACTGATCTACCTTAATCCGGTTTACATTGGTTTAGTTTATCAAATAAATCGTACTAAAATCTTTTCTTTGATAAATTTTCAGAAAAATAAATCTAGTTCAATTTTTTTTTGTTTCTTCATGAACATATGTGTAAAGATATAAAAACTTTTCTGAAATAGGTAGGAAAGTCGTGTGAGTGGACACACCAGATATTTTACTTTAGTATTATTATTATTAGTAGTAGTAGTATTACTTTAGTAATCAATAAAAAAGGAAAATATTTTTTTCCTTTGACATATTGACATATTTTATCATATATCTATTTTAGGCCAAAGGTTACCAAAAACACAGTTTTTTTTATCTCCTGTATGCTTTATTCAACGTTTCGGCTTCAGGAGCCATTTTCAAGAACCTGCAAAACTAATTTTAATTTACTTTTTACCATACAAATACATCCTTATCGGACACATATTATTTAACAACCACAAGTAATACATTTAGTCCACAAATTTATTTTTAATTTTGAATAAACTTATATCATCCACCTACCATGCACCGCGCCATAAAATTTTTAAAATTTATCATTGCGATATGATTCGTCCTTAATTCATTCTTTTATTTCTAAGAATGTCGTTTTCCATTTCTAAGAATTGTAATATATAAATAATAAATTAAAATAAATTGTTATAATTAATTTTAAAAAAGAATATTATTAATTTTCGATTTATATACCTCTATTTGCAGACTGTATCAAGAAATTGTTGTTCCCCAATAGGGCATTCATACAGGACTGGATTTACTTACATAAGGAGTGGGGTGGAGGGGTTAGGGATCAGCTGTTTTATATCAGTATGTTATATATTAATTTTGTCTATTGTGCTGGCATAAAACAGATATATGAACCTTTGGCCTAAAATAGATATACGATAAATTATGAGAAAATGGCATCAAACCTGAAGGATATTGACATTTTTTTTTTTAATTTATTTATTTTAAGCCAACTTACAGCAATTTTTTCATTACCAAATTCTACATATTGGTTGATGCACTTATATACTAGAAAAATCAATATTTATATAGATATTCATATTTCTAAAATGTTTATAACATCGATGAAAACATCGATTATCGTTATTACAAGTCCGATATTTTATATTATCGATAGTTATAGGCCGATATATTGTATCTTCGATATCCCATCCCTAGTCTTCTAAGGGATGAACTTCCAAGTAACATCTGTAGCAGTTAATTTCTAGGAATTCGGATAGCTGTTACTTCATATTATGGAGCCAGTAGGTGACAAGGAACACGTTATTCAGACATTTACCCAACAAATGAGCTGTGTTCATATGAACTTATATTTTTGACGATCATTTTGATTAATTTTTTTTTTAAACTGAACTAGTTAACAAATGGTGAATAACTTGTTACTGCTTGATAACAACATTAAAATTATATTGAAGGTAGTTCCGAAATTTTTAGGGTAGTAACTGACTTGAGTGTTGTTGCAGTTCCAGTAGCCTTTTGTGAAACTTTTGACTTGTAGGCTCCCACTAATTACGAAGGAGTTAGGTCGAACTTTCCTCGAGGACCGAACGTACAAGGAAGTTAGTAAATTAGGGATTTTGGAGTAAAAGTCGATATCTCGCAAATCTCATTTTCCAGATGAATTTATTTATTTATTATATATACAGTACAATACTTCATTATTGAGTAATATGTATTATTTCATTATTTTGTGATTAATTATTAATATAATCTTTACGAACCAGGGACAAAAATATACTAAGAGAAGAGAGCTGTTTCTTTTCTCATCCACTTTTTCTTTATTTTTCATTTTTATTTGGACCAGCATATACGACTAGTTGTCAAGTAAAAATTATTATTTCTAACTCAGTTACATAAATTACAAGTTGGTATCATAAGCGCCGACTTATGAAAAATTTTGGGAGGAGGAGAAGGAAGGAAGGGCTAACTATAGGATCTTGTGAAGGAGGGCTTGGGAGGGTGGGGATATTGTTTGAAGCGTATCCCATATGCCTATAGGCATTATGCATGTAATATACGCCTGTATGAAAAATTACCATCTCAATCAGGTATTAAGTTGTTTCAAGCCCTTTCTGATGACAAAAAGTGTTGTCACGCAAAATACTTAAAACTAAAACAGTATAATATTTTATAGATGGTTCCTTTTACAGTTGAATCAAAATAATTAATCAAATAACAATAATTCTTTATTTATTCCGGGACGAGTCCCTTTAGAATAATACAGAAAGACAAAAATGTGGGTTAAGGAGCCTCAGAGATACATAAACAAAAATATAGAGTAAGTTAATAGTCGAAATAAAAGAAATTATAAGTTACTTTCTAATTTAAATCAGTTAATAATAATTAAGAAAAATGAAAAATTTAAAATAAACATGAAGTAAAAATAATGAAGAACGATCTGATAATTTATATACATATTTACAGTAGTAACTATTTACAATTTCATGGGGACTGGATAGATAAGAAATGATTGAACAAGCGGGTTTTAAAGATAGGAAGGGTTTTGGATTGACGGATATCGGGAGGGATTGAGTTCCGTAGGGATGAGGATCGGATAATAAAAGATCCGTCGAAAGCAGCGGTTCGGTGGGTTCTTATGTATAAATCAGAAGACCGAGAACGAGTATTGCGGGAACGAACAGAAAATTTGAATTGAAGGAGCTCGGAGATGTATGAAGGACGGTGGGATTGGATGACTTGAAAGAGAAAGAAAGGATCAGGCCACTTCAACTTTGCATAAAAACGGGAAACAGAGGCGTCCCTTGGGATCCCGAAGATGAATCGTACAAAGCAATTCATCAAACGTTTTAATTTTGTCTCGAGATCCCCAGAGACGCCATTATATACCGTACAGCAATAGTCAAAGTGGGGAAAATTTAAGGAAGTGACTAGGAGCCTACGGGTTTCAAGGGGAAACAGGTGACGGGAGTAATTTAGACGTTTTAAGGTGGAAATGGTACGGCAGGAGATGTTGTATATATGATTTTTCCGGGAAAGCGTTTGATCAAAGATCATTCCAAGGTTTTTGATGGAAGGATAGAATTTGATGGGATTATCATGTAGGAACAGAGTTGGAATATTAGGAACAGTTTTAAGGAGGTGATTGGAGCCTTATAACTTTATTTTTCTTTTAGACTATTATTTTTGGGAGGAGGAGGGTTCAAGCCCTTAGTGGTTGGCGTCTTTGATTAGTATACGAAATTTATTATTGGCGCCCGATTCTCAATGTTTACCACCATGCTTACACGAATGTTCCTTCATTTTCTTCATAATAGTTTTTCTTTTTCTAAAAATAAAATTTATGAACTCTCGTTTCATATAATTTTATACAAAAATAAATTGATTCTTTACACAAAAGTAAAAAATTTGTGATTCACTAATGCTACGTAAATTTCCAAGGATGAAAATACAAAACAAATTTTGAGACCGAATATTAATTTATGTGGGATAATTATAACAAAAAAATTAATATTATAACTATTCAATTATCTCCGTGCAATAGAAAAATATATAATTATATCTATTTCTGTTTCAGGTGCAGGTCACTGAGAACGCCATCGAACCTTCTGGTTCTCAACTTGGCGATAAGCGATTTAATTATTCTTTCCAAGATCCCGTTATTTATATACAATAGCTACAAACAAGGGCCGGCATTAGGAAGCTTAGGTTATCCTTTTCATACTCACTCAATGTAACTGTCATATAGATTTAGTAGCCATCATTACAAGAAAAAGTAAATAAAAATACATTCATATCTCAATTACTCATTTGTGGTACTAGTTCCGAAACTCTGGTCCAAAATGAAGGCTGCTTTCAAGATCACTTAAAGAACATTATACATGGTATAACAAGTAATGAGTAGACAATTATCAACAATTATCTTGTTATAAAAATGAAAGACAAGCCACGACATATTTTTGCCTAAAATGCACAGAAAGCTATTTTTTTTTTATTGAATAATATAGCATTCTGTCACATGGACGATGGTTATATTCGTAGTGAGGTAAGACTACATTCAAGCTATATATACAAAAAATATAAAATAAACAGAAATAAAAAAATATTTTAAAATCACGATATCTCTACTAATAGTGCTCTGATTTCGATGAAACTTCTTTCATTTTTTAGGAAATTTAAATACCTTTGAATTATCTTATCACAATATTGACAAAAAAGTGTATACTTTTTGAGTTATTCGGAATTTAATTTTACCATCCTTCCTTACTTTTTTTCCAGCTTCTTTTCGTCGAAGTATGTTATATAGATAAATTTAAAGAGTGTCGAGAAAATGACTTTGACTTTAGCAAAGTTTCATTGAAATCGGTACATTCGTTTAGGCGCTACAGTCTATATTAAGGCAGGTTTTTCTGCATTTTTATTTTTTTCTCTTTTACTAACTTATCAAATTCTTTCAAATGTTATATTTAGCATTTTTTTCGGAGCTCTGAATAATATGAAATGATTACCTTTTTAAAATAAACCATATTAAAGGTACTTCAGAGGAAGACGTATATGATCATGGGGCATTTAAGCCCTGTAAAGAGACATCAATGAGGATAAACCTAATTGATATTAAAGACCACTTAATTATACAATGATACACCGAGTTTAATTAAAATCGTTTGAGCCGTTTTTGAGAAAATTGTGAAAATGTGTTTCAGCGTTGATATAAAGTAGCACTTCCGGTTAGCCGATTTTAAGGAAAAGGTTGCTGCCACATCTAAGGCATATATCTATCTTAAATACGTAATATCAGTTTCGTACGATTTTTTGTTTTCGAGCTAAAGTGTTCACATACACACAGACCATTTTTCGGGACTTGGTTATATGAAATCAGGGTACCGGAAAACGTTTATTTCCGTTGAAAACTCAGAATCAAAAATTTTCTCGATCGCAATACTTACCCTTACTATATAATACATATATACGTAAGTGAAAGTAATAACAAATAAATTATTATCACAAAATATATACAATAAATGAAAATAAAATATCTTACAGATGAGTAGATTAAAAAAAACAAGGCACAGACATACCTGTATATACTATTTACAATCAATTTTGAAATTTGAAGATTTTGTCTGAAATGAGGTCTAGAACAAATTGGATGTTAAGGTCATGTAGTAGGGTTCTGTTGGTTATACAGCACGGAGCATCGAATATTGTTCGAAGGACATTGGACTGAAATGATTGGATGTGTTTGATGATAAAAAATTTAGCTGTTTCCCACAGTTGTAGTCCAGTAGGTCCACAAATATTTGAGTATTGTCTTTTAGATCAGTAATTTGTTTTCAATCGAAAGGAAAAGCTATTTAATGAAGAAATTTTGAAGAAAAAAAAATGTGTTTTTATCGATAGTAAAAAAAAAACGCACTTGATTACAGACAATCCATAAAAAATATATATATATATATAAATATATATATATATATATTATATATATATATATATATATATATATAATTATATGGTTATAATTATAAGTATAGGCAGAAAGTCTTTTAAAATAATAAACTTAATTTTGATTATAGCAGTGTTACAATTTAATCATTATTATTTGATTTCTAGTGAATTAATTACAGACTGTGTCTAATAATTCGAAAGAATAAAGGAGATGCTAATAGAAAAAAAAATTTATTTCTTTTTTTTAAAAAGTTGTTTAAGCTTCAAAGAACAGTTAAAAAAATACTTCGAAATGTCTCTTCACGCTTTTATTTATATCTAAAAATAACTGAACACAATGGAGGACTTAAGCTGATTTTACCAAACCCTACGTAAGCAATCTGATATAGCTTCCCGCTGAAACATTAGAGATTGGTCCTCTACGTCAACTTACTCATACACACAGGTTGTTTCGTAATTCTACCTACAGTGTGCTCAATGTGATCTTCAAACAAGCCTCCACCTTGGAGTAGCTGTTCAAAATTAGTGTCCTTATTTGTATTTATTATCCTCGGTAGTGTCAAAAGGAAAGGGTAGCTCATTAAAGCAACAGTAGTAAGCATAAATATAGCTCTAATTTTATAATTAATCAACAAGCATTTCATGGCATTCGATTCACTTCTTCAAAGGTACATTAACACTTTAATTAGTAGTTTGAGATAAGAATAAATTATATTTGAAAAGAATTATTCATATTGACGGTATTATGAAAGATTAATTAATACTACTGCCCCCCATCCACCCTTCCGCCAGTAAAGCAGTGGAATTATAGTGCTCGAGCCACTGAATGTTTCAAGAAAAAAAATCTGGTATGACGTGCATCACAAAACTTTTTTCACTTGCCAACCTAATTAAAAAAATTAATTTCTGCTCGAATAGGGGTTTATTACCGGGCCTAAAGTTATAAAACAAGCTATTAATAGAAATAACTATTACCATAAGTTTTTCCAACCCGTAAAAACAGCATGAAATATTTTCAGCGGCATATTTACCTCACATCTTCTTTCACATAAGTACAATATATCTGTTTTTAGACAGTGCCAGAACGACTGTCCGACTTATCGTATATTTTGGAACTGTCGAGCTTAAAAATAATTGTAGAAGTTGCATTAAGTTTGGCAATTTCATTTAGTTTCCTTAAATCCTACAAGTTTTCAGAAATTATTATTCAATATTTTTCGGCCACTCTTTTCATTATCTTCTACGAATTTATATGTTAGATATTAACGTTTATAAAATCTTGAGTTTTCCAGCGATATATTATACATAGATAGATAGATTGATAGAAAACAACCTTTATTCTAGGACAAAAACAATTATGAACAAAAAACCATATCTGGCCAAAAACTACATTAATAAAAACTAAATAATATTTGCAATAACTTTAATGACAATATATAAACAACAGAAAGTAAAAACCCTTTGAAAAAAAAAACTTGAAGTGAAAAGAAAAGCTGAAATCAGAAAAAATAACAAACAAAAAGTTATAAACAAGTTATGAGTCGATTCCTAAAGTATAGATATACGGTATAAAATAAAGCAGAAAAGCAATAGGATTACTATAGTACAAGATAGCTGTTGAAAGAATTAAATACAATTACTAAATTAAGTTGGTAAAGAACGTTACATCACTTTTATAAGTAAACCATACATACATATATATAACGATTTTTTAAAAACATATATATGATAACAACCAAATTACTAGCAAGTTGATGACATTTTATTTGTTTTAGGCTGCCAAACGTACGGCTTCATCGGAGGGATGACGGGTACCTGCTCCATTATGACATTGGCAGCTATAGCCTTGGACAGGTATTACGTGATCGCATACCCTCTGAATAGGGGATACCACACAACAAGGATGAGGGCCTTCGTCTGGATCATCATCATCTGGTTGTACTCCGCAGCATTCTCCGTGATACCAATCGCAGGAGTCGGCATCAAGCCCTATGTTCCTGAAGGTTTCCTGACAAGCTGCAGCTTTGACTACCTAGACGATAGCGAGAACAACAGGCTTTTCATCTTCGGCTTCTTCGTAGCAGCCTGGGTAATGCCCTTCACCATTATCATCTTCAGCTACGTGGGTATCTGTCGGGCGGTCCTCGTCGTCAGCTTCGCCACGAGGAAGGGCCAGGAGAAAGAGAAGAGGAAGAAGGAGCTAAGGTTAGCCGTTGTCGTGATCGTCGTTATCAGTTTGTGGTTCGCTGCGTGGACTCCATACGCCATCGTCGCACTTCTAGGGATTTTCGGACAAAAACATCTGATCACACCTCTAGCATCGATGGTACCAGCAATTTTTTGTAAAACGGCATCGTGTGTGGACCCTTTTGTCTACTCACTCAGCCACCCGAGACTGAAAAACGAATTGTTTAGAGCTCTCTGCCCGAAGAGATATGCAATGGAGCGGGCCGAGACCCATAAAACTGTGTGGAAGATGGAGGGATCTCGAGGTTCCATGAGCAGGAGAGATTACCAAACATCTTTTAGAAACACCCACCAAGAAGAACTGATAGATCTCGAAAGCATAGGAGAGCCCATGAGAAAAAGATCATCTTCTTCATCTAGTCAATTTCAGAGCAGGGATGTGAGTATCAAAAGCATAGATGGTATAGTAATTTAATGTGAATAAACATCTTTTTTATAAACATTTCTTTTTTTTTCCTCTCATTGATCACTTTCGCATGCCCAAGCGAGTAAATGCTTGTGCACTGGATGGAAAATAAATAAACTCTGGTATTAATCCCCTGCTCTTACCCTTGTCCCAGGAAAACTCCTCACAGCCTAAAATACTAGGAAGGGAACAGAAAAAAAAATCATTTATACATAATTGTTTTACAAGAGAAACAATTTTAATCATGTGAATGAAAATGTTACTATATAAATTCAGAAAACATGGTTAAATTTATTCAAACATTGGCTGGAGCCTTGTCACTCTGTTAATCGAGTTCCCTTTGATAAAACAGTTGTTTACAAAAAAAAAATATTATTTTTTAGGAAACCTTATAGTTGAGTAGTATCAGGGAGAGAGGATCTTAAATCATTACTTATAACTGAACTAGTTATTTTTTCCCAACCCCATCAAAGGTGGAGCTATGGAGAGGGCTTTTGAACTGAACCTTCATCCCCCCCAAAAAAAATCTTAAAATATAATCATGTTTTATGAAATAAATATTAAAAATTATCTCAATTATTTTTCGTGTAATTACATTTAATACGACTTAAAAATCACTTATAACATCATTTCAATTTCATATAGGTAGTTAGATAGATCCTTTATTTTTCTCCCAAAGTGATAATCATTATATATATATATATATATATAAAACTTACGGGCTGAAGCTCCTTCCCCAAAAAATTAAATCCTGGATCTGCTAGCGATTCTCATAATGTTAAGAATAATATCCTATAAATTCCTGACAGAATCTCTCAACAGAAAAGGACTCTCATCTCTATACAGTAGAAACAAACACAACAGTGCTTCAGGCCTTACTCAATTTATTCTTTCCTTGACAGTGTTTATTTTAACAGAAAATACAAGTAGAATAAACCGGAAGTATGTTTCAGTAAAAACAAACACAACATATATTTAAATATAATATATGCCCACTGTGCTTTATTCTGTGAATTTAAATTATGACAACCAAATAATTAGATTAATATGATGCTAAGAAAATTAAAATAAAAAGGATTTTGACTTCATTACATTTATCTATTAAATTTTTATATATTTAGAGCTATTAGAGGATTACTGTAATTGGAAATGATAGTTAAATCATAACTGACAAAACAGTTTTTATCTTTAATTATATGAGGGGTAAAAACAAGTTATGAAACTTTGTAAAATTTTATTATGAACAATCTTAGCACTTAATGAGTTTTGCATTGTTAAATATGATAAAACCTACATAAAAGTTTAGTTCCATCAAAACTGCACTTACTGACTTTTAGCAATAAATATATAGATCTTGGATCTAGGATATAAATCTTGTATCTCCCAAAGGTCGATGGCCCATAAACCTTTCCCCTCCCCTTCCCAAGATATTTTATTGTTCTCCTCTTTTTAAAAACATTAGAAATAAAAGTACCATAAATCATATACTATTACACTTGACGTTTGTTTCATGTATTCCTTCTGTCTCCTTGTTTGAAATTTTTCAATTAAAAAATTCATAACTCTGTCGAAATGTGCTCCTCTCAAAAATTCAAAATACCGTCAAAATGTGTCCCCTTCCCCCTCAAAAATTGTGATGGCACAACTTAACAATTGTAAAAACAAAATTTCTGAAAACCTGATTCCTTCCTCCTTCAGGAATTATGTGAAATTTCTGAGACAATTAGCAGTGTTTTAAGCTTATAATTTTACAAGTTATTATCAATTTTTATGTTGATAAGCAAATTTAAATACGAAGAATACTGAAAATGTGTTCTGATTACAAAATTATTAGAAATCAATCTTCAACAATACAATTAGAAACCAAGAAAATAACCAAATTAAATCAAGAAACGTCTTACTGTCTGAAAATAAAACTACAGATCACTAAGAAATAAAAGAAGCTAGGTATGTTTTTTAAGAAATCAAGATTATAACTGACATAATATTGATAGAGTATTACTGAATCATGTGAGGAGCCAGTTCAATTATATTGTTTCAACAATACTGATCGCTTAAGGTGCTCTTGAAACACCTGAGTCCAGATTCATATATGGCTACACCGGATAATTATTTATTCTATTACATTAGACGTGAATTGACCCTAAGGTCAGAGCACAGGCGGATCTATGGGGGGATGGCTTTCAGGATGAAGCCTCCCCAAAATGATAAAATGTAACTATGTTTTGTAGAAAAAAATATTTAAAATTAACTTTTAATGTATTATTGTTCGGGTAATTACATTTAATATGACTTCAAGAATTACTAAAACACAGTATTTTTTTTCTAAATTAATTATCGTTATATAAATGAAAAAAAAAGCTTTCGGGCTGAAGCCCTCCCCCAAAACTAAATCCTGGATCCACTAGTAGGTCAGGGGACCCTCTTGAGGCAAACTTAAGCTCTATAAATTGGGAACCTTAATTGAGAAAAACCTGGCGGAAGAGTGTGGTAATGGCCAAATCACATACTTTCACAACTATAGCCAGAAAAGAATAATTCCTTACCATGTACTGGCATCTACCTACATGAATTGGAGTATAGAGGTTGTTTTTATAGATTGACCTCATTTTCCAATGAATATAACAAGCATTAAGAAAAATGATTATACTGCCATCTTTTAATTAGCAGTATAATATCTATATCTATGCTCAATAGAGCATAGATATCATAAATATTAGTATAGTAAATTTTTAAAAATATATTGATGAAGTAGTGCAAATATCTCAAAACAGAAAAAAATGGTATTCAGGGATTGATACTCACTGTTTCATATAAAATAGTATTTATATTGAAATGTAAGAGCAGAATGACCTATTTTTATTGATAAAATTTTGAAAATGACAATTATATTTGATATGTTATTTTAATTCAAATTAAATTTTGTTGTTACAATTTGATTGAATGCTCAGTATAATTAGGAAAACATTTTAAAGCAATATAATTTGTAAATCTTAAAACAGTTCATTCGATAATGGCCAACTTTAAGGTTTATATGTGCATTAAATTTTCTTTTCATTTGATACTTAAATTACTTATTTCAAAGATGAGAAGATTTAAAATTTAATTTACTGTTTTTAAATAAACCAACATTCGCATGATATATATGAACTACATTATTAATGTTGGTAACTAAATGTTTACATTTATATAAATATGTTTATTAATATTTAAAACATATTGTGGCAGTTAAAACATGTAAATGTTACACACTAATTCATCTTAATGTAAGAACAAAATGAAAATATGTAACTCACATAATTGAGAGCAAATCTTGGCAAACTGTTTCTTCTTTCACTTTAAGTAATTAAAACATATATTCACGTAATTTACTTTTAATCTCAAGCACATGTACATATATTTATATAAATACCTGAATTTAAACTATTAAAATTAGTAAGAGATTAACTTCTGGAACTATAACACGTTTGCCAACTTAATTTTTAAAAAAATGTATACCTACCAAATTTTTTAAAATTATTTCATTAATAGATAAGACTGCACTGTCATAAAGATCATAATATTTTTATTAATCATGGTAGTACTTTAAAAGAAAAAGTTGTTTTGGAAGTATAATAATTTTAACTATGCATCACTTGTGGATCAACAGAGAGGGGAAGGGGGGGAGGATCCTGGTATCCTCTTTCCGGGCTGTAGACCCCCCAAAATGAAAAATATTTTTTTTATTTGTCCATATTTGCCACTGAGAGTGACCCAAGCCACTAACAAATCCAGGATTTAATTTTGGGGGAAGGCTTCAGCCCGAAATATTCTTTTGTATGTATATATTAGGATAATTACTTCGAAAGAAAGAAAGAAACTAATTACCTACATGAAATGGTGTTTAACTGATTCTCTAAGTCCTATTAAGTGTAATAAGATGAACAATAATACTTTTAGAGATGATTTTTTTCATAAAACACGGTTATAAGTATTTATACTATTTACCATTTTTGGGGAGGGAGGATTCAGCACGAAAGTCCCGTCCTCCCCCGCAGATCTGCCGGTGACCTAAGCTAAATATTGATACAAAGTTCTATTTTGTAAATTATAACGCGTGTACAGCTACTAAATATTATCACGCATTATGAAAAAAATTATCTCTAAAAGTATTATTGTTCGCTTGATTAAATTTTATTTTAATTAAGCTTCAAGATTCGGTTAAAGATCATTTCATATAAGTAGTTTCTTTCTTTTATTAAAAAGTATCTCTTAAAGTATTATTGTTTGTGTAATTTAAAAGGGCTTTAGGCACTTAAACACCATTTCATACAGGTAGTTAGTTTCAAACTATTGCTTGATTTCCATGCACTGATAATGCCTTTATCTTCTAGTATCTCTAGTATCTCGATAGTTTGAAAGGAATGGCATAAATTTTGGTTTTCAGCATTTAAGTGATATTTTGAATGTTGAATGGAACCAGGAAGATTCCTGGAATACAAAACTTGGTAGTAGGTTTATGGGGAATAATAAGTGTTGGGAAATCAAGATATAAGGATAGGAACCACATTAAAACACTATTTAATATGGAAAGGATATTGCAGTTAACCTATTTTAAGAACTTTCATCATTATCCTGGTTTTGTGTAGATCAAAAACTCCTACAAGCACCATCTATTCTCTGATTTCAGAATTAATACATGGTACATCATGGCATCAGAAAGTAGAGGAATTTGGGAGTTGTTAGGTGATTTAGAAATAGGATATTAGAGGAAAGACATTCCATCAATGGAGGACCTAAACTATAGTTAGGTTCTAAGAGGGATCGTGAATTGAGAAAAGGATTTAGTTTTTCAGACATCAGAGGATCGACTAATCGACATCCTGTCAGGAAAGTTTCTTAGTAATGAACTTAGGATTTATATACACGGGGGCATTTTTAACATCTACTGTTCTTTGTTTATTTATTTTAAATTAAGAAATTAGAAAAACAATTATTGCATCTATTAAATTCTTTATAATTACGACAGCTCAAAACTTTACCCTTAGCAAAAACATATTGCATTTATAATCGTATAAAAAACCCTTAAGAACATCAAGTATCCTAATTTTTTACACTCCTTTGATACCACTATTTTAAAGATCAGGTGGACACTGATGACACAATTAAATATTCAAAACTACATTAATTATTCTTAGTCACAGCATATTCTACCGGGTAGATTGAGGTAAATATTATTTAAACTTAAGATGATTTTGCAGTGCAGCAGGTTCCACACTAGATCAGATATTTTGAGGCAACTTCCACAGTACAACCCCTCCCCTCTAAATTTTCAGCAGAAAATAGTTTTTTGAGTATATTGTTTTTTCTTTTATTTTAAGGACATTAATAGCAATGGCATCAGCGCAAAAATAAGGGTTATCCATATCAGAATTACAGTTAAACATGCCTGTATTAAATGAGAATCAAAATAAATTATTACAGGTTTAAATAGTTAAGTAATACGATTGCTACTCCAGAGATGCTGATTTACTCTGATAAATAAATTATTTACTTCTTTTTTTTTGCGTTTGCTTTTCTATATGTTTGATACCTCGATTTATTATTAAACTTATGGATATGAATGAAACATTGATAATACTATCTGGTAGTACAAGAACTGTATTAACAATTATCAAGACACTTTAATAATAATAAAAAAACGATTTACTTACTAGCTAAAAGCCTCATAGGTGTACTGGCCCTTCAAGGTATATCTGCCTCAAAAGAGAATACTTGGATAATAAACCCATTAAAGGAACTAACTAAAACATGAATCCGCTCAAGCAAGAAGTAACATGTACTTATGCCACTCATCTTCAATATGTCATTTTCTAAATCTTGTAGTAAGAACATTAATTCCTAATATTCAAATAGAAGTAGTTTTGATCATCAATATTAATTGTTAACGTTACACAACTTTTTTAAGTTAATTAATTGACCCAATTACAATATTTTCCATACATAACGGTACGAAAGTAATAAATTTCAAAATTTATTTTTTGAATGATTTGAAGTTTATGTAATAAAATATCTGTCAATATAGACGTTTTGCATCTAATTTGTAATAGATCAGATTAATTAATATCTGTTTTCAACAGTAAAATTACAGTTATTTTATTAAAGTGGATTTTGACAAATCCAGTAGGTGTGTAGTAGGACTGGGACATCAAAGGCTCAGCAATATTCATATTTATATTGACCAATAATTATCGATACCATCAAAATATCAGACTTGAAATATCGATAGTCGATATTATAAACATTTTTTAAATATGATTATTGATTCTTTAGCACAAAGGGGCATCAAAGCGGATGTTACTTTCCTTTTTAAATTAATTAACGGAAATATCAATTCTCCTACCCTCCTAAGTAAAATTAATATTTTAGTTTCTGCCATTCTTTAGTTTTTTTTTTCCATAAATTTCAATTCAACCTATCATGCCTTTTATTAACCCACAGATAGGATTCAGTGAAATGCTATTTTTTTTTTTTTTTTTTCCTACCCCCAGGAATTTCTTGATTACAAAATACATACATAAATTATTTATACATAAATTTTCAATTTCCTTTTATTGCCCAAGGGCATTTTAAGGTAAGAGGGCTATGCACACTGTATGCGTTCTTAGCATCTGTGTGGCCAGAGGCCTTTTATTATACCACTGGGCGTGGAGGGACCGCCCTGCATTAATGCTAATTTATTGGCTCCCTAAGATAGATTTATTTGAAGATTCGAGGCCTTGGTTTGAGAAGGTTCTATCTAACAAATTTGGATAAATTGAGTATATACAGAGTTGATACAATTGATAGTAAAATATCAAACATTCAGCCTGTGATTAGTGGTATCAGCATCAAAACTTCAAGTAATAATAATTTTTAGCCAAAAATCATAAATTCAAGATCATTCACAAAATCATGATTCTTAAAAAAAAAAAAATCCCTAAATATTTTCTGGATTTTTAAACTGTGATAATTTTTTTAATTGGCATTAAAATTATAAGCTCATTTTTCATATGACCGGATTTATCTAGTTTTTGGTGGCTATCACAGATAAATGACATGTCATATGTTTAAAAGGTCAAGTTCAAACATAAAATTGTATTTCGCCTGCTTATTACTGTAATTGTAATTGACTATACAACTGAATAGTGACTAATAAATACCTCCAACAATGTAAAAATCATATGCAATGATTCCATGTCAGAGGAACAACAATTTAATGAGGGTAATAATATCTTAGAAAATAACATTTAAAAAAAATAAATACTTAAATCTATAAGGAGAAAAGAAAAAAATTAAAAGGTTTACATACAAACAAGCATTCCTTATTTTTATTTTAAACTCATTGAGACATGTTATGAAGTTTTATGAAAGTTCAAAAACATTGAAAATAATATATTTAAAATAGGTGAAAATGACGGAATGACTCTCAGGTCTCAATAAAAAAACAAAAAAAAGGTTGGACCATTCACTTAACATAAACTTTCTTCCATTACTTAAAAACTAGAGCAAACAATTTCAACTGTGGTTATTTAACAATTTAAAAAACATATAAAAATAAACAAATAAATAAAATAGTAATAAGTTTTTAAAAAAGAAAGAATATCATTAAGTTTTTGAACACACCAGCAGGATTTACCATTCTTCAACAGTGTAAAAATTCTTTTTTTTTTTTCTTTAAATTTGTTTTTTTTTTTTACGACTAGTAGCTTAATCTTATGAAAATGTGTTGAAACATTAAAGCAGAAGTACAATACCTATCATTACATGGCCAGCATACAACATAAATACAACAACGAAGAGAGATGAAACTGAAGAATATTCTTAAAAATGCTCTTAACTTTACAATACTAATAGCCATCGTTATTTAAAACGAACAAACACTTGTCTAAAATTTAATTAATAACTTTAAAAATGATAAATAGGGGCCATACATCAAATCACATCGATGAAGACAACTGGAGGAAAGAAGTATATTTTTGTATTTAACAAATACAAATATGATATTTAAATAAAAATCCAAACAATACATAAAAAAAGGGGGAACACATCATATACGCCAATACTCGCATAAACTTAAATGCATGAAATACAAAACTGACGATTGATTTAATGACATGAGTTCATTTATTATTTACTGATAACTAAATATCCACGTTCCATAGAAAATAAAAAAGAAGAACATAGAAAATACAATAGCTTTGAATTGTCCTATAAGAACAGTTTATGAGCTGATGCGTAGAACAGCCACCATATTTTGATGTTAATATTAGTTCTGACGGTTCTAAACATCTTATGATAAAACAGATGGGGTTGATGATATGATGACCGCTACAGATTATTTTTCGTGAATCCTGAACCCCTTTTCATAGTGTGGAGATTAGTTGTTCATTGACTCCCGATCTTTTAATTTACTTTAAGATACCTGAAAACAAATAAACTTCTTGGTCAATATGACTAAGGTTCATAAAAGTGATTAATTCAATTAAAAAAAATAAATATATATATAAAATTACCTCATTCAGTCTATATATTGGGCTAACCAACGGAAACCTTCACCATAACCCTGCCTTTTCAGAACTGAACACATGAATAGCTCTAATGGACGACCAGACAATTCACTTCGTGGAACTTTGCTCTAAAAAAAAAAATAAAATAAATAATAATAAATTAATAATTCCATCTTTCTACTTGAACTTAGAACAAAATGGCAAATGAAAAAAAGCTGTAAATCATAAAGCAATAATTAAAAGTAATGTTAGAATATTCTCAAATAAAATAATTAAAAGATAGAAAACTGGCATTGATCCAAAAACAGTTGTTACAAACAAAGCTTTTTCAGCTAACATCGCCAAGAATGACTGGGCAGAATAAACTTAAACGACATTAGCTTGAATAGAAAAAAAAAAAAGTAGGGGAGGGCAAATGTTAACAATGTCAATTAAACAAATAATTCACTCTCAATATTCATTCTGTAACCAAGTACGAGTATATTGAATAACATAGGTAACATTTAACTTGTTATATATTTTATTATAGTATTAAATAGCTCTTTAGAAAATGATAATTTTTAACTATTTCAATAAAAGATTAAGAAACAGTACATAATTACCAATTGAGCCCAAAACCTTTCATAAGCAGTAATGGTACATATTTTTATTTTAATGATGAAAGTAATAACCGACAGTGAAATCAAAGTGATATAAATCTATTAGTATTTTAGTTAGCTTTGGATAGCGGGCAAAGCCAACAAGCACAATGATATAGGTTATGTTGTTTATTTAAAACATGTAGAGGATTTACTACACACTGGCAGGCTAAGCAGTTGTCTGTGGCTGTAATCTTTGAGAAATAGAAAAATTTGAGTGAAATTCTATATTCAAACGAATTTATTAATACAAAATGGCTCAATTAAGCACACATAAATATAACTATAATTTGTTTTTTGGAGATAGGAGCAGATGGAAAGGGCAGCAATATCTGCCAAGCCTAAGGCCAGCTAACAATAGATAATGGTTGCAATTACAAAAAGTTCATAGCTCAGCCAAGTGACGTCTCCATTACCAAGTATGTCAAAGTCCAAAGCTGTCTTAACTAAAATATACATTTTGCCAACATATATCAAGATTATCATTCATCCTCACAATACAAAATGTTTTCGATTTATATTAACTTTCCTTTTTTTTTATTACAAAAATCATAAATTTTAATTTAATTATTACATGTTTATACATTGTAGTTTTAACTGTCTCAAAAACAGTTTAAAAGGCATTACAAATGAAAATACACACTCCAAAAATATAAAATAACAAATTGGTGTGAAAGGGAGCCATATGCAGAATGGGGCGGAATCTAATATTTTATTCGCTAGGAATACTCTGCCATTACCTGTATTAATTCTGGCCAATTTGTTATGAACCATACAGAAAGAAGTGAGAAGGAAGAAAAAGTTATACCAATGAATTAGTAAATTATACCATTCATTACTCTGGATGATATTCCCGTAATACTTCATCTAATTTGTTCTCTGTAATTAAATGTTATAGATTAAGACTGATCAGTATGCTGTATGATTTATCAACTCAACACAGTTGAGCAGCCGTACAATTTTATTGTGCTTCTCTTACAAAAATAAATATTTTAAAATATAAAAACAATAGAATAAGTTACATTTATATCATACAGTATTTTAAATAATTTTAATTGAAAATCAATTCAAAAGTTAATCATAACTTATCATTTTGTTTACCCTCCTGTCAGTACAAATTCTAAAAATATTCAGAGGACGAAAAAAAAATGTGATTTTAAAATTTTATTTTATTATCTAGGTTTTCTGGTCAAAGAAGTAATGTTTTAAATAACTTTTTTTGGTTTGTATATCTGAATACGCTATAGGTAGGCCAAGATTTACCAAAAAGGCTAAAAACTACACCTACAATGATATTGCTATCGAAGGCTATTGCAGTGTGGCTGTTGATTTACTATCTTAACACAAATATGATTTTTTGTCATTAAGAAGCTAAACATATAATATATCACAACGCATCTTAACTGTAAGAAAATTAACAAGTATATTCTCTCAGAACCAGTTTAAAGGTTCCCTCAATTTACTATATCTGATTTTCTTTAATTTTTTGACCTAGTACATGGGTAATCCGTGTTAGAAAAAACAAATAAAATTTGGAGACTTATTAAGCGACTAGAAAAAAAAATTTGATTAAATCATTTAAATGATCAATAATGAAAAAATAAAGAGGGCAGCCGTAATAAATGTTATGAGCCCTGATAACACTGGTATGCAATTATTATGATGACCATGTTAGCTAGTATTCCAAATTAGCATAGCTTAATAATAGAAACATACCTTGCCAGTTGTTTGCCCGTATAAGTTGAAAAAATTCCTGAGATCATCTTCTGAAGCTGCACCTGGAAGATCAATTTTATTGCCAAGAATAAGGACAGGACAGTTGATGAGACTCTCATCAGTCAAAAGGGCATCTAATTCTGCTTTACTTTCAGGTAACCGAGTTGTGTCACAAGCGTCAACAAGAAAAACAATAGCATCAACTGCCGGAAAGTAATCTTTCCATACTCGACGAGCTAGAATAATAAGACATATGTTTAGAATTCACGAAGTGGTTTTATAATCATTAGCAAGCAAGAAAATAATAACAATATGATTAATTAATTAAATAAATTAGTAATGGCTATTTCAACCAGTAGTGTACTGTTTCAATGGATCACCCCAAGATCGTTAAGAAAACCGATAAGACCCCTGAATAAAGATGAAGAAGACTGGTAAATCAAAATCATGGATGTGAGTAGACTTATTTGGCATATAGAAAACCTTATTATATCTTACGGCAATTTAATAAGCCTTATTCCTTTAAACAGATTCTGACCAATTGATATTGCATTACAACATAGGAGTAAGTCATCAGCATGTTTCTAGCACCAGGTCAAAGTAAATGAATTTACTTTCAACATTTGTTTCTGAGACCATAAAAAAAAAAAAAAAAAAAAAAAAAAAAAAAAAAAAAAAAAAAAAAAAAAAAAAAAAAAAAAAATAGTTTTAACTACAAATAAAATATGGAAAAAAGGAAGGTATAGTTGAGTATTAAACATTCTATGTATAAAAAAAAAAGAAAGATATCTTTAAACTTTTCTTTGAAGCAAATATAAAATTAATTAAAAGTAGTATTCTCTTCATTTCAAATTTATAAACTAAGAAACATCAGTCAGGTACTAGTTATAATTATAAAAAATCATAAATCTGTAAATGATAAAAAAACACTTCAATTCTAATTAATGTAAGATTTATCAAAAAATCAAATGAGTAATGCTTATCTTGAGGGGATTGGTCACTTTTAATTTAGCAGACAGATCTTGAGATTTCAAGGTAAAATGTTATTCAAATTGTATAAAAAGAAACTATAATTTTAGAATTCTAATAAATTTATTTTTTTCCACAATAATAAATTCTATATTTCAGAAAATCTACATGATCATCAACAAAAAAAGTGAATCAGTTGTTGTAATATTTAATAACATAATTAGAACAGTAAATATATATACTTTTTTAATTATAATAGCTTAAATTAAAGTGAAATGTATACAGATTAAAAAAATTATTCAAAACACATCATGAGGTAATGAAATGATTATTGAATATGTAAACCGGTAATAGGGTGTTGTTACCTTCGGATATTAAGTCTACCTCTGATGTAATACTAAACTTTTTATTTAATGAAAAATAATCAGTTTCTTATAAACAAATATAATCAAGCAAACTAATTTATTCATCCTTTCTTCCAAAACATAATACCAATTACTCAAGTTTTATTTTTTACTAAATAGACTAATTCATTCATAATAAAGGGTAAAACAGTATAGCTGCAGTAAATATGTGATCTTAAATAATCAATAAAAAAAAAAAAAAAAGATGGAAATAATAACTTGTAGGAAATTGTAAAAAATTATGAATATTTTAATGAATAATTTAACAATTTTTTATGCCAAGAGTTTTTAACATCAATAATAATATTTGTATTTATTATTCTTAGGCTAGATTTTCATTTTTATCAGTAATTGGTAAAAGATACTAAAATTATGTATTGAAAGCATTTTGTAGGGATTTCATCATTTAATATTTTTTGTGTTGTTATAATTGACAGAATGGTGAGCCCAATTTCACATATATGATTCATAACCATTATGTCAAAATAGAACATTCATTAAAATAATTAATAATTGTTTAATAGTTTATAATTTTAAACTTAAATACTAATATCATCAAAAGCATAACTAAGTGAGAGATGATGCAAGTTTAAACAGTAAAAAAGGAACTTGGATATATCAGTCCTTGACAAAGAGAACTGCCTTATCAATTTTAAGAGAAGAGATGTTTATGAAGTGATAGAAGACATTCGTATAGAGCATGATAATATAACAAAAATTCTGATATATCTCAGAACATAAATTACTTGACTGATTCCTTCTCTAACAATATACAAACTAAATATCATTTGTTAATTATCAAATACATTAATATGACAAATTATAAACCATAGAAATGATTTATGAAACAGACATGATGAATAAAATGAGTAAGCAAATCTAAGCCATAGATAAATACCTTGAGTGTGTCCTCCAAGGTCAAAAGTTGTGAATCTGATATTTCCTATGGATAGTTCTTCAGAAGCTGTTAAAAACATTGAAAATATTTAAATTAATTATTTGCTAAAAAAAAAAAAAAAATCAATATACATACTATAAGTTCAAAACATATAGTAGCATATTTAACACATAGTTTATTCGAATATTTTTAAATACTCAGCACACTAGATTAAACATATAATGGATCAGGGCCAAAACAAACAACTACAATAACACTACTAATTAAATAAAATGTAAGGTATTTCATCAAACCATAATACTACAATACTAGTCACGTAGCCTTGACTAATCACCCCATCATTACAAACATAAAAAGTAATTAACAAGCATCTATTTATGTTTGCTCAAAATATTGGCAAATATCCACATTGAGAACACAATTATTTGGTGCTTCAATTAATGAACTTTTATAAAATATTTCCAAATGATAGATCGTATTTACATTAAAATGAAAACAGAATAAATATAACTTACTTGGGTGTAGTGTTGGTACATGCTGTGCCAATCTGTCATCTTTTAACCTATGGAGAAGAGTTGTTTTACCAGCATTATCTAATCCTAAAAATAACAGTTTGCCTGACTTTTTCCATAAACCTAAAAAAAAATAAAATAAATAGACAAGGAGAATTGTCATAAAAAACTTAAAAAATATTTTAAAATCGCTAGTATTAAGTAAGGCATCGACTTAGAAGTATTTGTCAAAACATTTAGAGATGTTAGAATATGACGAATTGTTTTATACATACCTAAATAGCCTAGAACTCCTGTAAACCAATCCCAAATGAACATTCTGAAATCTGAAAAAAAAATATGTAAGTTTATTTACAAGGAACAATAAAAGGTTAACTTATTAAAAAAGCCAATTTTAAACCACTCAAGATAACCTTTTAGAATTGTTATTAAAACAAGCTATTATTATTCCTAAAATAACAAAATTAATGTATCTTGAATATGCTAAATGATAAGAAAAATAAGAGAGAGAACATGAGTTCAACAAACTTCATACAATGATTACAATGCAACTATCAGGTATTGATGATAAAGTGATAATCTTCGTAAGAAAACTAAAACATTTTTCATTTAAAGTTTACTTTTACAATACACTAAAATTAAGTATACAGAAACAGATTGGAGGTTTAAAAAATTAAGAAGTCCATAAAAGGTTATCATTAAACAGGAAAGGATAAATGTCTAAATATATCATAACGTAAAAATGCAACGAAAGCAGATAAAAAACTTCCAACAAATTTTATTCAGAAACCTTCAAAATAAAATGAACCAAGAACTATTGAGTCATTGCGTTAACCAAACCTTCGGTTCGATAAAAGGTTAATTTAGAATAGAACTTTCAATAAGAATCGTACAGAAAAAATAATTTGTTCTAATACTGAAAATGGTAGATAATACTCACATTTACAGCAACACTGTCGAGCAGAAACAAAATAAACCTTCTAAAGAACTAGTTGTCAGTAACAAACCTCCACACTACACAGGAAGAAAACGAGAAGAAGGGACGTAACAGATGTGTTCACGTAGGATCCGCCATTTTATCTAATAGGCATTGGGCCATTATCTGATAAAACTGATAAGCCTACACTATCTGTTATCCGATTTATTTATATTTTTCTCGGTTTCTCTTTTCGTTTTAAATATTTTCTCATTAAAATGTGTTTTCCAATGAGCTGCTATGAGGACACTACCTTAGATTGTCAATGGTGTAAATACGTTTTGGTTTGTGACATGGACATCTCAGCTATAATTACTAAAATTGATTCTCAGTAATGGGAAATGACCTGAAATTATTAATATAATTTTCTACTAGTCAGATGTCGATGGGTCATCAAATTCGACCAGTGAAAGTGTAAGTTTAAATGTCAATTATTTTTTGTAATCCCCATTGTTATCTTAAATTGAGCAATACTTAATTCATAGTTTAGAATACTTCTGTACTATGCATTGTTTCTTCCTTCTTTATATGGACATATCATTGAAATTATCATGTAATTAATTGTATTTACCTCAAAATCTTGCAGTTATTGGGATGTAAGCAGTATCAACGTAAATTAAGATATCACTAATTTATATTATGCTGTAAGACTTTTTTATCCACTGTTGTGTTTATTTGGTTCTGCCTAATGTTACACATTATCTAAGCTATTATTCTTCAGTTGTTTTATAACATAGATATTCTGACTCTTATTAGTTCTCTCCACTCTATAGGTTGATGTTTAAATTATCTCTCTATCTACATGACCTTTTTTTCTTAATATTTCATAATACATTTATTGTCACTTTTAACAGTAGATTGATTTGTCTTATTAATTTGAATATTATTAATATATTCTTTGTCTATTTTACTTAAGAATAATTTTTATTGTAATTAATAATTTATATTTGATGTTTTTCCATTTTAAACTTTTGGCCTATTTTCTAAATTATATTTTCCCTATTATTTGCCTATAAGTCAATCTAATAAATAATCACACTTAGTTTTTGATTATTCATTAGACTGACCTATTGGCAAATAATAGTAAAAAGATAATTTAGAAGTTTTATCTTTTCCATCTTAGATTATCTCAAACATCTGTCCACTATGTTGAGGTAAATTTTGTCAAATATTGTCTTCCTGACCTTATAAAACCCATTTTTAATATATTTGAAATTGTTTGAAGTATAGGATTAATCTTTTATTTCTCTTCCGCAACCTTGCAATAGGCAAAACAAAAACTTGTACTTTATATGGCTCTATCCGTTCTTCTGACATCAGTACTTTCTTGCCCACTTTCAATAACAGGCTATAAGAGCTAAGCGACCCTCATATATTTTTCAGGGCCTACAATTTAAATCTTCCATTCGATTCCCTTCCTTTAAATCCCATATGTTCAACCTCTATCGTCCTCCTCACCGAATTGCTTTGTTTTACACATCCTTTTCTATCCAAACTGTCTCCCTCTGGAATTTTGTCACTCCCGATATTCTTCATTCACAATCAGTTTCCTCTTTCAAATATCTCCTTTTTAAGATTCCTTTCACTTATTTCTTTCCCAATCCAAGTGATCATGAATTGAACACAAGAGAACTCTCTTTTTTTTTTTTTAAAGCGGCACGAGTGCACTGCGGCCATGTAGGCCTATTGTACGCCTTAATGATTTAGAGAATTCTCTTAATAATCCCAGAAAGTAGATCTTTTTACTTATTTTATTTTCCAATACTTATTTCATATATATGTATGCTTTTTTTCTCTCTCTTTCCTGTCGTATCTTTATATTTTTCTACTTATTATTTTGTAAATATGTAATTTAATGTATGGCCACACTGGCATATCTTAATTACTCTGTGTATTTTATTTATTAATAATACAAGTATTTTCATTTCATTTCAATTTTGTACTTTGTCTAAAAGTACATTGTACTTTTCAGGATGCTTTGTCTCCTTGAGAAGGTTTGTTCATTGACCAAATTTATTCTTGGTTAGACTCACCCAAACAGCGTGTTAGATGCTAATGAGGGGAGGGGGCAAAGCATCCAAAAATATGAACTAATAAATTTTATTTTATGAACTCTTTCTCTTTCATTATCATTGCAGTGATGAAAAAGACATTCCCTGGTCATCTTTGAGTGATAGTTCATCTGGAAGCTGTGGTTCCTCCAGTTCATTTTCTTGGACAGATGTGAGTAAACCAACCAATGGAAGAAGGCATTTAATTTAAGCTTATTCATATAAACATATCTTGTCATTATTCACTTAAAATTCTAAAAAAATAACAATTTTTTATTAAAATCGTTTTATTAGCGTGTGTCTGCTTTATTATAACAGTATCCAGTGATTATTTTATTATTTAAAAAAAAATAAGAGTGGTGAAAATTAAAGATCTACTTCTATCTTTCTATTTTATAATCACTATATTTGAATCAAATAAAGTTACTGTTTGTAAACCTCAACAAACGATCCTGATTTCATAAATACTTTTAGTTACAAATCAAAGTCTGAATTGGAATAGTTTTGTTTATTCTATTGATTTCTCAATTAAATATCTGGGTTTTATATTATTTTTATTAATATTACATTTAAATCTTGGATATTTGTGGAATTTATCGGTTGACTGCTGCGGATAACCTATATGTAACAAAAAAAAGATTGTAAATCTATTAGAAACACAATTTTTTCTTTACAAATATCTATAAATTAATTTACAATAAGAAGGAATGGGAAATTTTGAATGAGTTTGTAGTTTTATACATGATAACATAAATTTATGTTAATTGAATATTTATGTTTATGTTATTTATGCAACAAAAATTGAATATTTATGTTAACAAAAATATTTGGAAAAATATAAACATTAAAATTAAAAACTAATTATGTAATAAATAAATAAAAAAACGGAAATAATCTTATCCAACCTAAGGAAATGTACTTGTAATTTACTTAAGCACCTTGGGAGATTAGTTGTGAAATTAACGTCTATGAGTATTCAAACTTGGCATAGTAGTCAGGTGACATCTACTAAACATTACCGTTCCTTGGAAGTATATTTCGTCCTATGTATCATTGCATAACAACATATGATTGAGTTTCTTTTAGGGATGAAGGGTACCGACTAAGTTTAAATTTAATTGAAAGATAACAAAATTTACAGGTACATCTCTTTGGCATTGGACCGATGTTATGATAATTTTGTTGTTTTAACATCCTGTATGTAATCTTAATGTTGGACCTTATTGATGGATCTTTACAGGAGACAGATCAGAGCACTGCAAAGGACTTGGAGGAGCAGTTCCAAAAATTTGAGGAAGCATTATATTTAGAATCGAATCCAAATGAGTTGCCGCAGTCGTTACAAGATGAATTTAAAATTTGGGCTGAATATTCTCCTCATATCAGGTAAATGTGATTATTCTATTTTATATACTCTCCCTTAATTTTAGAGTCATTTCAGTCCAAAAAAGAGACATCTAAAAAATATCTTTGTCTTGGTTCTAATCGCATTCCAGCAACAGTTGCAAGTTCAAGCAGAAAGGAAATATTCCTTTTAAAAGAAAGTTTACTGCATTTCACTACTGATTTGTTTTAATGTTCTGATATTTTATTTCAATAAAAAGGATACACTCAAGAACATTCAAGCCACTGTAGAGGTGAGAGGCTAAACCAGCATAAAGAGAAGAAGCAGATCATTTTTATAAAATTTATGTAGATCAAAATAATTCAATTTCCCCAAATGGATTTTTGTAAAATTTTACAATTTAATTCTCCATTAAATTTGTTGTATTTCTTTTTTCTGTTGATATCCTTTTTTTTTCTATTTACATTCATTGATTTTTTTATTTGACTTTTCCACATTAAGTAGAGCCCACTCATTCACCCATGCTAATGTAAAAAATAAATAATATATTTGCTAATATAAAAATAAATCATATAAGGATTGGCTGTCAAAATAAGCAGTCCCTCCTATTTTTTATAACCTGTTATCTCAAACTATTAAACTGTTTTAAATACAGTTTAAGGGATATGTTAAAGTTAGTTCAGATCGCTGTTGAGCTATTAGCTATAGTTGTTTTATTTTATTCTTTTACCCCAATTTCAAATGAATGAGCACTTTAGAATGAGGGCATCCAGTTCAGAATAGTTTGGGTATTATTCTCCTCTTAGTCAATTAATTTCTTTTTTTTTTCTTTTTTTTTTGGAAAGTTCTGAGAGACGAATCTTGTAACCGTGAAAAGGCCCACTTGTGCGATTAGTTCTCCCCACCATTACCTGTACCACTAACAGTATCCATTTAACAGTTACAGTTCTGGTGACTTCCCGGTTGAAATTAATTACACGTAATGAAGGAAAACAAACAAACTTATATGTTGCTAAACAAATATTTACTATTATTTTTTAAAGCTTTAAATGGCTGATGATGTTTTCTAACATGAAGCATCAAGACTTAAGTGTATTTCTGCCCTATTGTAAATGTCATCATATGAAAAAACCAAAAACAAGATAATTAAACACTTAATGTAGATGTAATACTGTTAATCCTGAAAATTCCTTTCACGTTTGCTGCAGTTATGGTCCCCGGTGTCTATCATATATAATGATTATTTATGTTTGTTTCTATCTTTACATCTTCAATTTCCATTCAAATATTTTTTAAAATGACCATTATAGAAACTCTGTAAGATAAGCAAAATTCTAAACAATGCTGGCCGAAATCGAGACAAATATCGGAACCCAGGGACCGTA